ACAGACCATAGTATTTAATACCAATACTGCAATGCAATTATAATGCAAAATAAATATTCACTGAGCACAGGGCCGGTGCTGCCACTAGGCAAACTAGGCAGCCGCCTAGGGCGCACTGCTACCTAGGGCGCAGCCTTGACCATTCACGCCCCATGGCGCCCCCTGTCTATTTCAAATTGCAAAATCCAATAGCAGGCTGGTTATTGCACCCGCCTACTGAGCAGAGGAGCGTAATTGAGAGACAACTTTCTCTCTCAGGTTCACTCCTCTGCTCAGCGGGTGGGGTTTCAATAGCCAGTCTGCTATGGGATATCAAATAAATTACATCCACCTGTTGCCTGCAGAAGCTAACCCGCAGGAGAATGGGGCTGCACGGGGGGGGATTGGGGGTTGCGCCACGGGAGGGGGGTGCAAGTAGCCGGTCACTCGGGATAGCACAAAAGTGTCACTTACCTTGTCCCTGCGAGCCCGCGGTGTCCTCTGCAGTGTGCGCCCGGCCGATGACGGCTTTTGGCTTTCAGTTTCGTTTTCGGGCGTCACAGCAGGGGGCGGAGCCGGTGGGAAATTAAAAAGTGCAAACATGACATTTACACAGAATACACACAATACAATGTAATCTGCTATGATTACATTTATTTATTATATTATAATTTATGATTTCGTGTTTCAAACTTTATCATACCCGGGATGTCTACTGGACTCTTGTTTGGGCAGATTTAGATTAGTTATTCCTAAGATTTACTAAGAATTACAGGCCTACAATATAAAACAACAAATTGCCATGAAAAACAATGTACCGCTTTGGCATGCTAAAATCATGCATAATCAGACCGCCAGGTAGGTTAAGTTTTGCAAACCTGGAAAAAAAATGTGGAACAGGGGGTTTACATTTCCAATAAGTGGCTGTTAGATGTAAACATGGACTTATTGAACTATTGTAAAGCTGGCCATACAGAGAGCAAATTGTGGCCAGTTCCTAATGAACCTGCCAAAATTTGAGCCGTGTGTTGGCACCCCTCTAGACGTCTAAAGAGGGGTTAATAAAACACTAGATGGCGCTGAGGAACATAGGAAATTCCTATGTTCCTCTAGCTACAACTAGCAGCTATAAAGCTGTGCAAATGGCGCTTACCCAGATATATGCGAAGCCCTTATAAGTATCTGCCATAGGTCAGGGGTATGCAAACTCCAGCCCTACAGCCGTGGTGAAACTACAAATCCGATCACACATCTGTCTCTGGGAGTCATGCCTGTGACTGTCAGAGTCTTGCAATACCTCATGGGAATATGTAAATGTAATTAAAAAAAACACCAGACCTTGAAAATACATTGAGGGGGAATTTATCAAACCTGGAGCAGACAGAATCTGGAGCAGTTGCCTATGGCAACCAATCAGCTTCTCTCTTTCATTTTCAAATCTTACTAGAACAAATTTAAGATAGAAGCTGATTGGTTACTATGGGCAACTGCTCCAGATTCTGTCTGCTCCATTGTCCCCTTTGTCTTTTTAACTTTTAAGACTTCTGGCGACTTATGTATTTCATAGCTAATGCAAAAATGTTCAAAGGTTATTTATTGACATGCAGATATAAAAGACACAAATAAATGTAGCTCTGTAATTTGTAATGCATTATTAAGTTTTTTTTAATGCAAACGGTGTAAATAGCTGAATTTGACTTGGTATCAGCTTTTTACAGTCTCTGTTGAGCAGGGCGGGAGTGTGAGAGGAAGAAGCAGCACAAGGAATCAATCAGTTCATGTGCTGACAAGAAGCATGCTGATAGGAAAAGAAAGGAGAATGGCAGAGATGAGGTGATCATTGTACTGCTGCTCAGTTCATTGTCCAGTCACAGGCTTGGCCGGGTTGAGGATGACCTGGGCTTAGGAGAAGTGGGTTGAATGGTTCTGGCTATGAGGACATCTAGTGGCAGAAAAAGGGTACTGCAAGGAAAATCTCTGGATTGATGGGGAATATTGTAACAACAAGCTAGTTTTATTTTTTTATTTTTTTTAATGTTATGTCCCTGTATATGGTTTGCAATTATAGATGTACACTGAACCAAACCGCGTGGATGGAGCAATCCACCCTATCAAACTATAGTGGTCTCACAATCAGTGCCCGCCTTTGCTGGAAATGCAGTCGCTGTACAAGCTGCAGTCACTGTTTGCTCACCAATTTTTGACCTGGATCCTTTACCAAAAATTGGTTGAGTAATCAACTTGTAGGGCCACCTACTGTTAGAATTTCAGAAGGTTCCTGTGAATCGACTGAATCAAATTATAACAGTGTATGGGCAGCTTTATATGATCTTAACAGTGGGATCTCCCTGCCATAGTTCCTGACCCTCTTCCTCAGGGTATTCTTTCTGACCTTTGCTTGGTCCAGCTCTTCCTGTTACTTTTTCCATAGTATCATCCAAGTGGGACAGTGGTGATACTTCATAATGGTGACCGCAGGTATGCAGACTAAGGAACTCATTAGCAGCGGCTTCCCGGCAATCAGGAAGCTGTGCGGCGAGTAATGACCCACCTCCCGGCTTCCTGATTGGCTAAACAGCCATCTCCTTGCCGATTGGCCTTGGAAGCCATCTTCCCGGGCCAATCAGCATGGAGCCGGCGGAACAGCCGCCTCAATGCTGATTGGCCGGGAAGCCTACTTTCCAGCCAATCAGCAAGGAGCCTGATTTCCAATCAGGAAGCTGCGAGGCGGGTCATTACTCGCAGCCCGGTTCCCTGATTGGTCGGGAAGCCGGCTCGTTGCTGATTTGCTGGAAAGATGGTTTCCCGGCCAATCACAATTTAGCTGGCCAAACAACATTGAGCCGGCTTTCCGGGCAATCAGGAAGCCGGTGGCATGTCATTACCTGCCGCCCAGCTTCCTGATTGCCCAGGAAGCTGGCTCTATGCCAGCGGAAGCATCGGTATCAGTACTCGGCATCTGTGAGTACTGAAAGCAAAAATATCAGTCCTCGTACTCAATACCGAAAAACCGGTATTGGTGCATCCCTAGTAACAATACAGTAATTAAAAAAAAGAATTGCAAAATAGAAAAAACAATGCCATCCTATCAGAAAACTGAGTTTGCTGCGGCAAGCTGACTTACAAACGGTTACCATTGCTTACTGCACACCATTGCTTCGAATGGGTTAACATGGTCATTTATACCTTTCAATCTAGACATCTAAATGTATTGTGTTATTATTCATTTTGTATATATGGCATGTTGCGTTAGCATAAGCACAACAATACTCAAAGGAAACGCGCTTCACGCATCGATACCCCAGGGCACCGGAGGTGTTAAACGCTGCTAGCGTGGGCTTCTCTGCAGAATTTACAACAGTTGGCTGCGACTGGGTGGTGGAACGTCGAGAAAATCTGAGACTTATTTTTGAGGATGTCGCTCCTACAAAAAAAAAGAAAAGAAAGGCAATTGTATGAGGAAAGAAATATGCAATAGCAAGGAAAGGATGTCTGCTTTCTAAGACCTTATATGACTTTGTTGTGAGCGATGGCAGAATTCCTGAAGAATATTTTTTTGTTCTGCTAGGCGGGTGTTTCCTTCCTTGGGCAAAGAACTTGCGGCCGGGGAATTGAGAGGATGTTAGGGACATGATTTTTGCAGCAGGCGGCAGAAGTCAAAAACATAAACATGATTAGCTTTATCTTTCTCACACATCCTTCTATTCATCTTCCTAAACCTTTAGGAAAAAAAAGAAAAAAGCAATTACTTTGTATAAGGCTGTTGGGGAGAATTGGAATAGAAAGCACACAATTTTATGCTTGGAATAGAAAGCACACAATTTTATAGGATCTCATAATGTCATCTAATACCAGCTCCCTTGCTGTACACGTGCCTTGGTCTTAACGTGCTTTGGCTTTGAGCCCTTGTAGAGGCTGACGGTTGGATCACAGTGACATCTAGTGGATGATCTCTTATATCACCCAGCCGTCATCTACCTTTGCATAGAAAGTGATGCAAATATGATTCTTAAAGTGGCACTAAACTCAGGAGTTAAATCCTAAAAATGCATTCAAGCACCCTAACTATTACCAAAAATGTATCTAATTTGTGCATCACTCGGCTGTAGATCCTCAAATCATCATGAATTGGTGCTGACACTGTCCTTCCTTCTGGAGTGAAGATCAAACTAAACTGACAACCATGCCCACCACAACTTCACACAATCCTACTCACCTTATGTATATGACCATAAATAAATATTTTAGTAAGGTCTACAAGAGCCTTCCCTTCCCTGTGGTGTTAGTACACAGCCTCCGTTCTTAATATGAAGTCTCTCGGTTTCACATGAACATTATGGTACTCAAACATAAGCAGCATTAGCTTCATTCTCTCTGTTTGTGTGATGTGGTTTGAAAGCCCCTGAAGGCATCGAGCTCCAGAGCAGTCCTTATTCAGACAGAAGATTGTGTGCTGGCAGAGTAAAGTGGGACCAAGAAAAATAAGATGATCTTGGATGGTGCCTTATTATCACTAGGAAACCTATACCCATGTGCTGCTATGTCATATAAGTAAGCTTCATGACAGTGGATATAAAGTGACCCTAAACTCAGGAGTTAAATCTTAAAAATGCACTCAAGTACCTTAACTATAAGCAAAAATGTATCTTATTTGTGTATCACTCGGCTGCAGATCCTCCAATCATCTCTGAATTGGTGCCGACACTGTCCTTCCTTCTGGAGGGTGACTACTTTTGTTCTCCATGGTCCCTGCGAGTGTTGTAAAGTAGTCACCGCTCCAAGCTCCCTCCCTTGATGGACTACCATCTACAAATGAGTAAACTATTGTAGTCCGTCACAAGAGCAAGCTTGGAGCGGTGGCTACTTTACCATAGCAAATTAGTTTAATTCTCCAAGCTCTAATAAGCCTTCAGTAAGATCAAAATGAATTGTGAAATTAAAGCTGCACAATTGGTGAACAAAGCAAAGGGAAAGTTCTTTTTTAAATAACCAACATTGTTTTTTTTTTAATGTTTACACAGATTCATCACAAAGCAACCTGGACTGTACATTTGGCTGGGGGTCACAGAAAACAATCTGCCAGTGGGAACATGATAACACCTTGAACCTCAGATGGACTGTGTTGAACAGCAAAACCGGCCCAGTGCGGGATCACACCGGTAAGTCAAAGATATCTTCAATATTAGATACTATTGTACAAGAGTTCTGGTTTGAATGCTGTAACAGTGCCATCTAGTGGAAGTAAATGTATTGCAAGTGTCAGATTTATTTAAAGTTTATTTCCCCTTTTGCAGTCAGGTTTGAGAAAGACTCACTATCAGGGTTATTCACAAAAGGGGGAAGAGTTTGGAGAGTGAATAATGTAGGACAACATAGCTTATTTGGAAAGTGAGCTGAATTGGATAATTTTTCCCAATCAGCTATTTTGTCCTAGATTGTTTGTTGTTTGTTATGTGTTCCCATTCACACAGCATAACCAAAAATATATTACTAATCTTTTAGCTGTTTGGTAAAGGCCTTTTTGCAGATTCCAGGCTACCCTGAGCTTCTTCTCATTAACATACAATGCATCTAAGTCTTTATCCCTTTGTTAGGACAGACCATGTTCAAATCTAGTTTACTGATTATGAGATCTGCCAGTACAGTATAGACAGGGTTAGAGTAAACAGAACTTCCCACAGCCCCCTAGTTAACATTTCATATGTGGAAACTGTTTAGGAGTTTTAAGCAAGTACAAAGAAATGTAAGCAGAAATATCTAAACATTATTTAAGTTATGTTATGTGAATGAGAACATGTAACAAACATAAAGTAGGTGCTAACCCAATATGGCTGAAAAAGTGGAACTACACTTAAACCTAAATTGTTACCAACAAACTAAATGCTGAACTCTGGGATAAGCAAATAAATACAAGAAGCATGTGTATTCTTACCAGGGACGTAACTACTGATCCCAGGGCCCTATAGCAAAAATGTGATGGGGGACGACCCCTGACGACCTCTCTGAGCGATGACTAATGACACCAAGATCCCAAAGACTCCTCTTGTGCATCTGACATCGGCATTCTGAAACTGTAGACTTTACAGAGGTTTAGGGTTGTCATCAACTACAACCACTCCAACCCCTACTGACACAGTACAGTGTTATCTTCACATGTTCCATGTTTAATCTGCCTCAACAACCTAAAGGAGCCCCCTACTACTCCCAGGCCCCACAGCAGCCATCTGGGCTGCTATGGCTATAGTTACGCCACTGATTCTTACTACAATCATGGTGAGCTTTGTGTATTTCTTACAAATCCGTGCAGTAATCCAGTGTGACACTTTGCATTTGTACACAGCTTCCCGTAATAAAGACCGGTCACTGCTGCTCTCTCTCCTTACGCAGGGTGATTGGTGTTGTATCTGCCCCCTCCTGCAGTGGGTGGGGCCTGCTGGGCCCCTTCCACAGCTCTACGTTTTGCACAGGCTATGTACAGCACATTTATAAAGTCACTTCTACTTTTATAAGATAGTAACTTGGGTAGTAAATGCATTTGGTGCACATAAAGTGGATTTATATCCTTTGTTGCAATTGAATAATATGTTTGAATTAAAGTTTTTTAAAGTTCAGCTTTAACCACTTGCAATAAATTCAGTTGTGTTAACTATAAATGTAAAGCACGACAGCAGCAGCAAAACCAAAAGGCTTCAATTTTCACATCATTTCAGTAAGACATTCCTGTCCTGCTCTACAGATGTCAATGCTGTACCCGGCTTTGTATGTGTTACACAAGAGTACATGTTTAAAAGGGTACATTTATATCAATTTAGTTGTGGACAGCATTGTCTGTATTCTCCTCCCTGCTGTTTGATGGGCAGCGTGCAGAAATTGAACATTGTGTTTGATGAATTGAGACGCTAATAAAACATGATCTAATCGAGTTGAACGGCCAAGCCTCTCTTCATTTTGGACAGTGAACTGACTGCAGCTTTGCAGCTGAGCATTAAACAGCCAGCTGCTTTTGTTGCACACAGCTGATCCGGAGAAGAGCCGGTGCATCTATTGCGGAAAATCTTTTAGATCCGCTGGAATCTAGGTCACATGACTTATTTATGACATTTTATTAATAGGATGTTTTCTTGTTTTCCTCAAAATCATCTTACTACAAGTGTAGTGCTATTGCACATATGAGCAACAGGCAGGTTACTGTGATGTCAAAGCTTAATATTTACAATTGTTGAATCCAGTAAAGATTACAAAACCTCACTCTATAACAGGGGTAGGCAACCTCGGCACTCCAGCTGTTGTGGCTCTACAGAAGTTTTACTGCAGCTGGAGTGCCGAGGTTGCCGACCCCTGCTTAAATATTAACAAAAACCTTTAATATTATTACTAGGATATACAAATAAAAAATTGTCTTTTTGTGTACTTGCAGGGTCTTTAAAGGGATAAAAGATGGGGAAATGTGCATTTTGTTTATTTGGCCAAGACATACATTTTAAGAACACCTTTAATTTTTTTTCTTAGGAGATGGAAATTTCATTTACTCCGAAGCTGATGAAAAACACAGGGGTAAAGTGGCCCGGCTGTTGAGTCCTGTGGTGGACTCCTCTAAATCCTCCCAGTGCATGACCTTTTGGTATCACATGCCTGGCACCCACGTTGGCTCTTTGAGCATCAGACTAGCGTATGAAAATCAGGAAGGCTTCGATCAGATGTTATGGACAGCCAGTGATGGCGAGCACCAGAATGACAACTGGAAGGAAGCTCGGGTGTTACTACACAAGTCACTGAAGCAATATCGGGTAAGAGCAAACTCAGTTCCTCTTCTTCTGCATGGCGCGGGCTAGTCATGAACCTGTGCTTGGTGCAAACCCAGTTTGTCTGAGTTCACTCAAGCCTGCTCAAAACTATGACTGCCACCCCCCAGCACAACCAGTTGCAAAGAGGTGCATTCCCTGTCCCGCACCTACATGTCACAAAGGGGCGCAGCATATGCCACTGCCACCACTGAATGGGCTAGGAGAGGGAGTGGCGGTCACAGCCTTGGGCAAACTCAGGTAAACTGGGTTTGCACCAAACCCATGCTAATCTTTAGTGGAGGCCTACTGTCTGTGCAGCCTGTACGGGGCCCACAAAGGTAGTATAAGGTTGGCAAACCTCTGTCTGCCTTCCTATTAGGGAGAATGCCCTTTATTTCCTCACCCAATGAAAGGGCAGGGACACAGACAACAATAAAAACCTGACACATGTTCTGTCACTTCACTGTTCTATCTAAAAATTGTTGTTGGAGTTTGAACAGCTTTTATAACATTATGTGTTCTTTTTGTATAGGTGGCGATTGAGGGAACGATTGGCAAAGGAAGCAGTGGAGGAATTGCTGTGGATGATATCATTATTGCTAATCATATACCTCCTGAACAATGCAAAGGTAGGTGCTAAACCCAGGCTGAGCATGCAAATCACTGTACACCTTATGCTGCATTTACTAAGCTGCTCTGCATGTTCGGCTGTGCTGCAGTGCAGAGGGACTTTCACTCAGCCGATCCAACATCTGGATCGGCTGAGCCAAAGCTCCGGCAGCTCACTCGCTGCCGTTCGCCCCTACTCTCATAGGGGCCGAACGGCAGTAAGTGAATAGCCAAATGCCGCTAAGCTATTCTGCTTGGTATCTCCGAGGTAGCCAGCATAATAGAAAAGAATTGAAATGAATTAACAAAAACAGTTGAAAGCTTATTTTACAAATGATGAAAAATAGGAAAATTAAATAAATATATATTTTAAAGAAAAGAAAAAGAAATAAAAGAAAAAAGAAAAACAATTGGGCGGAGCTAGCAGTGACAGCTAGCTCCGCCCAACTGTTCCCTATTGGCCGGCACCTGCCAGAGTCACCCGGCCAATGAATAACAACTGGGCGGTGCCGGTTGTGATGTCACGGCCGGGGCTCAGCCCAGTTGTTATTGTATAATGACAGATCAGCGTCCCCAGGTCATTTGGGGACGATGATCTGTCATTACAGCTGGTCGGAGCCAGCCGTGAGATCACAGCTGGCTATGCACAACTGTAATTTCTGTGGAGATCCGTCGGCTTCGGCCGACCTTTCTCCACGCTCCAGCTGTCACTTTGGCTCAGTCGAGCCGAAGCATATGCCTTCGGCTCGGCTGAGCCGCTTAGCTGCCTACGGCTGCTGTACGGGCTATTGTGAAAAGAGACGGCCGAAGAGAGCTGAAGGATTAGCCGACGCTACGGCTGGATCATTCGGCTCTTTAGTGAATAACCCTCAATGACTTCAGTAATTTCACTTACTTGTGCACTAAATTAAATCCTGTCTTGCTGATGTTTGACACACTGCAGCCTTTAGCCTATGGCTAGTGTGGTACTTAGAAGCCACCTGTAGAGGGAGCTCTTGGGAAAAGGGCACTCTATAATAGACCAGCACACCTTGCAAGAGTGCCCCCTAGAGATGATTAGCAGGGGCTTCCTCTGCATCACATACATGTGTACAAACACTCAGAGAGACTGCAAGCCACCATGAGGCTTACTTTCTGATCCCAGTAGGACAAGTACTGCATTTATTTGCCTTTTTTAGTGCAGGCTGCATGGGCAAGATAAGGTATCTGCAATTAGTGCATGTATTATGTGCAGTATGCATACGTCTTAGTGGAAGCAGGGATAAAATATGTTGGAATGAACACATTTTCATGCTAACCTTTGCCCATTATATCACTATTGGCACTAGTGTCAGAGCTCCTAATCATGACTCACTTGTACTTAGCTTGATTTTTACATAAGGCTGATACTTTTATTTGCATTAACACTGATTGTGTTTTTGTGGTTATTCAGGGTCCGACTCATCAGGATCTGGAACAGGAACTGAGGACCATACAAACGGTAGGTAACCCCACCTTCTCTTCATCCTTAACTAGTTGGTGTGAATCAAAAATGTTGATAACTTGACAGATAAACATAACTAATAAAAGATAACAGAATAAGATATTGACAGAAAAACAGAGAGATTTAATTATCTAATCTAAAAAAAAAAAAAAGAACCACATACAAAAATAATTTACCAAATGTAATTCATATGACCTTGAAAATAAAATTGCTTAATGTTTTACAATATATTAAAGGTTGTCATTGAGTACACAGTGCCTTTATCCTATAGTTGGCACTGCAGATATCACTGTTGCCTGCAGGCTGCAGTATTCCGTATCTGTCTACTACTGCATTTGTCAGAAACAATTACAATAAGAGATAATAATAATAAAATAAATTCAAATAGAGTGTAGCGCTCACCCCCTAAGGTGCCGCTGGAAAATACAGGTACTTTTGTCTCACCTCTGTGATAAACCACTTGTGATGGATCCACAGCACACCAGCACACCTTGTAGGGTTTTTTAAAGCTTTACTATACAAGTTTTGTACTAACATAATAGAAATATGAACAGGAGAAACAATAGCAAATAACTGTGTATACAATAGAATCACATTAGGCATTCAGGTATACCTCAGCTGTTGCTGTTTATCTGCATTTAACTGCTATACTGGTCTGGTTAAGGTAACCTTTCACATGGTAGCAACAAAGTCTCAGTTTAAACGGACCCGGGGCTCTAAGCTACTGACCAGTGAGATTTGCTTCGGCTACCCAATGATTGGGCCCAATGTGCTGTTTGCAAGATAATTTGAGACACATCAATGCAGTGGCCAAGGGCCGGGCTCACCAATCGGGCGACTTGAATAGAAGCTCTCGAGTTGGTCAGTGAGAAGAGGGCAACCCCACCTTCTCCAGCCGACTTCCCTTGGTCTTCACAGCAGATCTGTGTGCAGAGGATGGCAGGTCCCGATCACTGGTAGCAGCCATGCAGTCTGCTCAGGATTCACACTGAATCAGAGGGGTGGTGGTGTCACACTGATATGCTAGCCCCAGGATCCAATTGTTCGTCCCGGCCGCGGCTTCCCTTCTATGCTGGATCAGTCAGTTTCTCCCTGGGACGATTCAGGAGTTACAAGGCAGGAAAGAGCATGCAGAGTCTTTCTCCCGCACTACAGCAGCATCTGACAGGGATCAGGGTAGCTCACTACAGGGTTTATGCCTCTCTGTAATAATGGCAGACAACTCCAAAAACGATATGTCAGATCATCTCCCAGATCACCTCCCAACTGTGTGAGTGCGCTCAGTCCATCCAGTCCAGCTCACTCCTTCTGCAGATCCCAAAGCCTCCTGAGAACTGTAGTTTTGATCTGCTTGGATTAGTACTCTCTCTCTCTCTCTCTCTCTCTCTCTGTCTGCACACTACAAATCCCACAAGTCCCTGCTGTGTGATCTCGGACAGTGTGAACCAATCAAGTTTCTTCACAGGTTTAACACTATCTGTGCAGACTGAAGTGATTAACTCCTTGCAGGGAGAAGATATGCAGTAACTGTGCAGGGGCTACAAGAGAAATAATATATATATATGTATATATACAGGGCTTGAAAAATTTGGCGGTGTCTCACCAGTCAGTCAAAAATTTCACTCATATAAAAAAAAAAAACATTGTGCCAAATAAAAGTCTTATATGTCCTTTAAATGTATAAAAAATATTTAGGTATGCAAATAATCCAAATCATTGCTAAATTAACACTCCACTTCTAATGACCAAATTAAAGCAGAACTATATTCACCCTCAGTCCAGCAATATGACATACACAAGCTCCCTCATCATCACCAACATCTTCTACCCAGCTTCTTCTGGGTTCAGTATCTTCATTTACAGGATGGCCTCCTGTTCATGTGCATGGGAGGTCATTAATTCCGGTACAAAGCAGGTGGCAGGATTGTATAGTGAGGTGCACATGTGCTGCTTAGTGTACACCCAAAAGAAGAAGGCAAACAGGAAGGTAAGAGTCCTTTATAGCAGAAGAGACGCAGTTTATCTCATCTGCAATAAAAAAAATCTTCCTGCCATCAGTTTAAATAAAGGGCTCTGGTAACCAACGTATACTGATACTGCTAAATTTGGCCTGGGCATGACCTCTATGTTTTAGACAGATTTAAGCTCCACTTCTGAAGCGCTAACTTCACAAATATAAGTCTAGCCTTCTATTTAACCTTACTGGCAAAATAGTGTTATTTAGGAAATCAGTGAAAATGTTGAAACTGTTAACATTTTAAAACTGTTCTTAATAGTCTTTATTTTTTTCATTAAACAGGGATTACTCCGAATTACTCTGGTGAGAACCATGTTGATGAGAGCATCTCCAAGAAGCCAGGAGGCGTACTAAAGACCCTGGACCCCATCCTCATCACCATCATTGCCATGAGCGCTTTGGGAGTCTTACTTGGCGCCATTTGTGGCGTGGTTCTGTACTGTGCTTGTTGGCACAATGGCATGTCAGAGAGGAACTTATCCGCCCTGGAAAATTATAATTTCGAACTTGTGGACGGTGTCAAGTTAAAAAAGGACAAACTAAACACACAGAATACATATTCAGAGGCATGAAACAGCAAAAAGGAAATAAAGATAGTTGTTGCAGATAAATTCAGCGGAAAGACTAAAGTCAGTTTTGGTGGAGACGGACCAATGATCTTTTACTGCTAGGCTATAAAGTGCATTGGTTGACGTGAAGCCAAACTTCTCTCAGGAGCTTCAGTGAAAATACCTGAAAACTATGGACGCAAATACAATCTGAATCATGTACAGCTGGCTTTTCTTTTCTTTTTGTTTTTTTTTTGTTTTGGATAATCAGATGCTGGTGTTGAGACCAATTATGATTGACTTTATGGTTTTGTAAACTCCGTTCCATCTTGTTTCGTTTTTCTGCTACAGATATCTTTGTTGTGAGCAAAATCCAGAATACTGTCAAAGAAATACATTGAGCGGGGTTCTGTGGAAAGCCACATGGTATGCCACATCCACTAAGTCCCCCGCCCCGCGCATCATAGGACTCGCAGCACGAATTTTTCCTCCTGTTGTGCATATCTGTTTGTGCTGTGTATAAAGCAACAAAGGTTTAGGAAGTCCTAAACAAAATGTGCCACTATGATGTTTTCTGGCAATTTTTTAAAGCAACGCTACCCATTAATGTTGTGTTTCAGTGTTGTTCTGGAGCATAGTGCTTTAAAACGTCTCTAGGGTTCATGCACCGTCATCAAATGCAATGGGCAATAGAGGGTACGGCCTACCCTTAAGACAATGTTGTTGGCACTAGCTAGTGGATGTCCTCTCAAGTGCCTTTTTGTGTTTGTGTTAGTTTTGACTGTGTTCTCACCGATTGCAACAATGCTTTTGTTTCAGTCATTATTATTATATGCCCTTGTCTAGAACTGTGTACCACGATGGTCAAAAAAATTTAAAAAATGTGATGATGGCCTCTCAAAGGCAAGGGCTACCACTGAATCATCAACTCAACTGAAAGCTTTTATTTGGAAACAGAATGATTTTTTTTTCATTTATTTTATTGCTGAATCCATGACTTTTTTTGTGTAAAAAAAGCTGCAATATCCCATTTTTCTTTTTCTCTGTAGAATGTATTTAACAGTTTATTCTCAACTTTGAGTAAACAATGTAAAGGTTTGTGCCGTAGACTGACAGGCAAAACACAGCTCTGTTTCCGATACCGATAAGACAGAGACGATCCTCTGGTGTAAATCCAATAAGGGAAACTTCTTGCATTAACCCTACAAAGTCTAACTTTGGCTTTCTTTCCGGATGTGAAAAGATACAGTATCATTTTTCTAAAAAGGGCAAGGTATGTTGGGCTTATTTATTAACAATGGTATAAGTCTTTGCTTGACGAAACACAGAATAGCCAATAGGATAATAGTCCTGAGCAGAAGGAGGGCTTTTTAAAAATAATGTCTGATTGGTTGTTTTTAGGTATACCACAGCACTTTTGTTATTTAATAATCCTCATAGTCCAGGGTGTTACAAAATGAACTTTAGGATGCAGAAGTTTTAGTGTTAGGCATATTTTCCTTTTTAAAACTTACTGTGTGTCGTTCATTGTATCTAAAAAAAATACCTAAGATGTATCACCGCTCAGTAAGTGGACTGGAACAGTGTAGGGCAGTGGAGTGCAGCGTGTACAAAACATTCAAAGAATGAGACAATAAGCCAGTTTTATGTCTAGTCCCAGGATTTCCAGGTCCCTTTGTTTTTTAATCAGCCTAATGAAACCTGGAAGTGCCTTGGGCTATAAACTGGCAAACTGGCATGAACCAAGTTTCATACACCCTATACAGAATTCATGAAGATACCCTTTAACAATAATGTATCTGGTCAACTTACTATAACTAATGACATCATTAAGGCTGGAAGTGCTCTACTCCATTCTCATGCCACTCGTCTAATTGTATGGCACCCCATTCTGCCAGCACCTATATAAAAATAAGCCCATAGCCAGGGCAAGCATTCATGAGAGAAGAGGAGGCAGGACAGTGGCAATGCTTATCTTGGTGAGCAAAAGCGGAGAAAAGACAAAAAAACATTAGGGGAACAGAAATCAAATGTCAGCATTGATTTAAAAAATAGCTTTTGCAGAAACACTTCTTCAAAAATATAGTCACCCAGTATTCACATTGTGTACTGTAGACACAGAGAGAGAAAGGAAACATGAGAGTGCTTTTAAAAGGAGAGGGATATGAGACTGGCCATTACTGACTTGTTTTGGAAGGTGCGAGCACCAAGACTGCCATCTCAATTGTTTCTTCTCTACTTGAGGTCACGTTGACCGGGAACAAGTGCAACATGTCCGTATGGAAGTATCTGAAAATACACTATGTGCTTGCTCTGGGTCATTAGTGAAGAAAACATACCAAGATAAACACCTTCAAAAGCAAGTCAACTAAAGGCAGCTCCTACATTTCTATCCTGGCATCTTACATCTAACTGGTGATAATCTTTAGGTGATGGTTGATGACTGCAAATGTTATCACGCCTTTATCATTTTTATTGATAGTGGTTTTACACCCCTCTATTCATCCTTCCTTCCTTGCCTTCTTTCACTGACCCTGAATAGGCAAAGTGATGGGTCGTCTTGTTAGGACAACCCACCAATACTCATCTTGGGTGCACTCGTCTACTGTTCCTTTCAAAAATACCCAGTAAATAGGTCTGAACCTCCCAGGATGCAGTGTTTAACCCGGAACAGTCAATTGCCAGGCCTGAATACCAACATGAGAGAAGGAAGACAGTGGTAAACCCTGTGTAAGCACCCACACAGACCAACTAAGAGCATACATAGGGACTAGGCAAAGTGCAGTTGCACCATGATTGTGAATAGGGACATTAAACTGTAGCTTTCAGTAAAGGCAGAGACTGATGTGATTGGTTCTTTCTCCTCCCCAAACGATCATAACAATTTGTTTCTGTCATGTAAATTACCACAATCTGCTTGCTATGGGTTACTACGCAATGCACATCACTCCACAACTGTTTTTGCCACAATTTGTTTGATTTTCATCATTGCTTATAAAACTGTAAAACAGAATTTTTGCCCATGATACATTTCAGCTCTTATCGTTTCTTTTCAGCTGTTGAAAAATGGAAAAATGATACTGAATCTTTTTAAGCCGAGAGAAAGGAATCTTGCACTGAAATCTCTATTTAAAATTATATGTTGATAAGGTTATTTAACCCTTTAAGCAGCCAAAGAGGGCAGCAACCGCTGCGTAGCAGTTCGTTACTACCCTCTCTGCCTGGGGACTAAAAGAAGGGTTTGTTTGTAAAGGCAGTGTTAAAAGAAAATTGTTCATTTATATTTGTTTTAGATTGTTTCATAATTTTTAAAAGTGTAAAATAACATATTTTTTTCTTTATCAAAAACTATTAAGGAAAAAAATAAACTTTTTTTCTGTAGTAAAATGATTTCATTTTACTGGTATATTATTGCTTCATGTTTTGTATCATCATGAACTTTTGTGCAAATTTTTTTACAGAAATTTTTATTTTATATGACAATATGACACTTGTAAACTGTTGTTTTGGAATGAACTGCGAAGCCTTAACTTTGAATGACATTTGTATTCTTGGACATTGAATTGCATAATAATCACATAAAATTGAACTGTAATTTAAATCCCAAACGATGACTACTACATTCCAAAGATACAGTTGAAATAAACATTTTCATAAAATACTTTCTTGCATTCTGTAATTTTTTGTTATACTCAGATATTATTATGACATTTATAATCTTGTTTATGTAGGCAGGAAGCAGCCATCACGCATTGCTTTCAATAGATGCTTTGCTAGCCGATATTTTCTTTTGAGACCACTCTGGGTTTTGGGGCATCTTGGAGCACTTATAAAAACTATTAGAGTGTAAATCCTGCCAATAAATTTGTTTTTATGTTTGAGTAGGAAAGGGTTAGAACCTCTGCCAACTTTATGTTACTGTCTTTGACCTTGTTAGAGGATTTTGCTCTACTTCCTTGGCGACACAACAGGAAGTCAGAAGAAATGTCAACAGAGAGACAGCAACAAAAACCTGAGGGAAGTGCTTATCCTTCCTCATTCCACCAACGAAATTGCTGTTACTGTTGTCTGTGTCCTATTGGAGAAATTCTGTTGACTTAATGATTTGATATCCCAATAGAAAGAAATATAAAATCTCCCCAGTGGGGGTCACAGGGAAAAATAAAATCCTGGGAGGACATCTAATCTTTTTCCACTTTATCCAAAACTAAAAAAAAAAAAACTTAACTGGAGTATTTACTTTGAAGGTACAAACTGCAGTTTTTTTATATTAGCAGTTTCATGTGTATCAATAATGTTTTTTCTTTTTAGTGAAGTATAAAAGTGTTACCTGCTGTAAGGTTTCTATTGCTTTTACTCAAATGTTGCAAAAGTCAAACAGTCATGTGAAAAAGTAAATACACTCAATGAAAATTAAGGAAGGGGTATCCTGTGGTGTCATGGAAGTGAGGAAAGGGAAAGTGTCTCTCCTCTCTCTCTTACCTGGCTGTCTCTTCTCGCTCTCTCTCTCTCCTGGCTGTCTCTCCTGGCTCTCTCTCCTGGCTGTCTTTTCTCGCTCTCTCTCTCCTGGCTGTCTCTACTGGCTCTCTCTCCTGGCTGTCTCTCCTCGCTCTCTCTCCTGGATTTCTCTCCTGGCTCTCTCTCCGGGCTGTCTCTCCTCGCTCTCTCGCTGCGAGGGAGCATGGCTGCAGCTTTTCATGCCTCTCATCCAATCGGGAAGCCAGACGGATGCATGCACCCCTGCTGAAAGAGGTAAAGCGACAGTTGAAGAGATGGGAATCCGGGATGCCTCAGGTCTCTGTATGTAGGTATGTATATATATATATATGTGTGTGTGTGTGTGTGTGTGTGTATATATATATATATATATATGTGTGTTTTTGTAATTTTGTGTGCACACCCTTATGCAATAGACTGCGCACGCCTATGGTTTAGACCTTAGAAGAATGATAAAAAAAATAGGTCACATTACAAAAGATATAGGAAAAAGGTCACAGGACAGGAAGATATCGGTATAGATCACAGGACAGGAATATATAGGTACAGATGACAGGATGGGAAGGTATAGGTACAGATGACAGGATGGGAAGGTATAGGTACAGATGACAGGATGGGAAGGTATAGGTACAGATGACAGGATGGGAAGGTATAGGCATAGATGACAGGATGGGAAGGTATAGGTACAGATGACAGGATGGGAAGGTATAGGTATAGATGACAGGATGGGTAAGTATAGATATAGATGACAAGATGGGAAAGTATAGATATAGATGACAGGATGGGAAGGAATAGGTATAGATGACAGGATGGGAAGGTATAGGTATAGATGACAGGATGGGAAGGTATAGGTATAGATGACAGGATGGGAAGGTATAGGTATAGATGACAGGATGGGAAGGTATAGCTATAGGTCACAGGATGGGAAGATAAAAATATAGATCACAGGATGGGAAGATAAAGATATAGATAACAGGACAGTAAGATATAAGTATAGATCACAGAATGGGAAGATATAGGTATAGATCACAGAATGTGAAGATATTGGTATAGATCACAGGATGGGAAGGTATAGGTATAGATCACAGGATGGGAAGGTATAGATATAGATCACACAATGGGAAGATATTGGTATGGATCACATGATGGGAAGGTATAGGCATAGATCACAGGATGGGAAGGTATAGGTAAAGATCACAGGATGGGAAGGTATACGTATAGATCATAGGATAGGAAGGTATAGGTATAGATCACAGGATAGGAAGGTATAGGCCACAGAATGGGAAGGTATAGGTCACATGATAGGAAGGTATAGGTATAGATCACAGGATGGGAAGGTATAGGTCACAGGTCTTAGCAGGATATAAAACAAGCAGAACGTTGAATGGAATACAAGGAGCCCTGGAGGAAGGCAGAGCCAGAAAACCCAGTCAGATATCATTAGTAGGGATAAGCACAATTGAAAATGTCAAGTTCTCTATATGATGACAGGATGGGAAGGTATAGGTATAGATGACAGGATGGGAAAGTATAGATATAGATGACAGGATGGGAAGGTATAGGTATAGATGGCAGGATGGGAAAGTATAGGAATAGATGACAGGATGGGAAGGTATAGGTATAGATGACAGGATGGGAAGGTATAGGTATAGATCACAGGATGGGAAGGTATAGGTATAGATGGCAGGATGGGAAAGTATAGATATAGATGACAGGATGGGAAGGTATAGGTATAGATGGCAGGATGGGAAGGTATAGGTATAGATCAC